GAGCGGTTTTTCATCTGAAGGTGGAGGACAAGGAAATGCCGATGAGGACATTTCTCTTGTACCACATTTGAATAGGTCTGGATTCCTTAATTTTTTGCATTTCTCTTTTCAATAACTGAAGTCCTGTCTGTCGGTAAATTAGGGACAGATTGTCGCACAAGGAGCAAATATGGTTGAACTTGGGGTACTGGAGCAATGTGCAAAGCGGGATGTCGAGGATCAGGATGTCATAAGCCAGGGTGCTGGTCTTCAGGATTTTTCGATGCTGCAAGGGAGGAGAAGGCAACCGGAGGGCGCCGTGTGTCCTCTAACTTCATACTTCGTTGCCTTGCTGAGATGGATGAGCATTTTCTTCGTTTTATAGGGTATCCTCAAGGAGATTGTGGCGAAAGAACAAAGAGGTTCTTGAGAGAGTCGATCAGGTAGAGAGGGAAGTCGTTGCACTGTGCGAGAAACTTGCGGATTTCTAGAGAGAGATGTTTTAAGTTACACGATCGTGGGAAAGTTACCTGTCTGTGTTCGGAGCCGTCGATCGTTAGAGAGGCACTCGCCGCTTAGCCGAGAGATAGTCAACATGACCTTTTTCAAATTAGGCGGCGAGTTCATGTTTATGTATGAACGGATTCACCTTCGAGGGTTTGTCTTGAGCAAATCCTCAAACGATCGTTTAGTTAGAATTTTCCTTCTACAGTTGTACCCGAGAGTTTGGCGCAACGTCCCCTCTTTTTTGTGTATATAAATAAATGAGAATAGAAATAAAAAAAACATTTTGCTATTTCTGGTAATAATTATTTTACTTGGATGACGTATAGTTATGTCGCATCAGTCGTGTCGGCGGCGCTTTGACTTCCCAAGTATCTCTTCTCGTGTATATATATAAGCATGTGGTCGTACAATCGCTGAGAACTCTGATTTCTTTTCTTTCCTCGTTCTTCTTCTTTACCCAGGTTGCGCCGTTGTTTTTTTCTCTCTGGGTTTCGTTATACTCTTCTTCTTTCTTGTCTAGCGTCGTAGACTTCGTGGTTCAGAAATACTCCCAGGAATCATTTGGTTGGATTCCAGATATAGAGGATTAGGTCCTATTTGTGGCTGACGTGGAGGAGATTCAGGATCGTTGTGTTATGGATCCTAGAATTCTCTTGCGATCGACCGGCACCACGAACAAGTTATGGATAATTTCTCTCCTGGCCTTGTATTCTATAAAGATCACTTTAAGATAGGTCTTCGGCTGCCTTTTTGTCAAGAGTTGCGGTCAATCTTCAATCGTTATTACATCATCCCTGCTCAAGTCCATACCAACTCGATCGTCACTATCATGACTTGTGTGCTATTCTGTTGAAGGATGGAAAATCCCTTGATCGATCGAACTCTTCAATCATTTCTTCTCCTTTCCGATTGGTGGTGATGGTTATATTAAGTTAGTCGCCCATACTAAGATTCAATTGTTGGGGCTTGAGAACAAGGTGAAGGACTGCAAGACGAAGTTCTTAGTCGTCATGTGCGCGAACGGATGGGGGATCCGCACTTCTCCTACTGAGTGTGAGGTGACGAAAGTAAAACCCTTGTCGGGGACCGTTCAAAACCACAAGGCTCTGATCGAGGGTCAGCGCCTCTCTTTGTTTCATTACATTGTCCCCAACGTTATCGAACGTAAGATTCGTTTGGATGGTGACGATACCATGACCGAGGATTTGTTGAGATCGACAGACAACAGAGACAACACTCGAGAGAAAGCTGTTGGAGAGAGGGTGGCTTTGAAGAGGCCTCTTGGGAGAGGCGGTCCTCCCTCATTCGACAGAGTTCGAGGCCAGTATGACTCGATCAGGTCGACCGAGGGAGATGAAGAAGGTTGGTGTTACTTATCTTTACTTATGTTTGTGTGGGAAATGCATTTTCGTGACATTTGTATAATTTGTTAGGATCTTCAGAAGGGAGTGAGGGGCACTCTTCTAGATCGTATAACCTTCCTGAGTCTGGAGGAGTTCTCACGGCGATGGGGGAGGCCTCGTTCATCCTCTGCGGGAGCTAAGTGAGGTGAGTCCGCCTCTCGCTCTATCTTTGTTGAGACTGATTCCAAGGAGAGATGAGGGGTCACAAATCAGTCGAAGAGCGATGCCCCTCGAAGAAAAGGAAAGGCCTATGTCCCTGATATCAACTTGCCCCCTCCTATGCAAGAGGGGGTGGTTCCGCTCGAGTGGGCGTTCCCACACAAGCAAGGAGTTGGTGAATGGACGAGCGGTCACTACGCTCTTATTGACAGGAAAATCAAGCGGTTCCCTATTAGTCCTCTAAATGGAGACTACCCTTGAATCTAATTGACACATTTTGGTCTCGTGCCTTCGAGAAGAACTTGAGGTTGATGGATAGAAAGGACATGTTCCAAGCAATCGATCGTTATCATGCCCTTTCCTGGCAGGATTTGCATTTCAGGCTTTTCTCTTAAACAAAGCCAGGCAGGAGTTGGGTTGTCTGCCTCGAGGACTCAAAAATTGAATTGGAAGCTTTTTATGGTGGAAGAGAGATTGAAACTTTCCCTCGAGGGCCAGAAATAGATGCCCAACAGCATGAGAAAGAGGTAGCAGCTTTTTTGAAGGAAAATAAAGAGCTGAAAGAAAAAATGTCTTTCTCGTCAGGATGCAGTCGGTACTTCTTTAGTCTGTAAAGCATAAGCTGGTGGATCCTAAGTGGCAAAATATGAAGGAATTTGGGAAGCTCCTCTCGAATTCGAAAAGAAGGAAGAGTTTGCGTACCGGAAGTCCACTGGCACTGAAGGGACCAGAGAGGTTAATTCTAGGGAGTCTTCGAATGCTCAAGGTTAAAGCGATCCCGTTTTGTAGCTTTTTATTCCTTTTTGTTTTTTTTTCTTCGTTGTAAAGAAGATCGTTATTTGTAACTTACAAATGAATTGTCATAATACATGGAAACTTTTGAGGCTAGGATTTCATTATCCTAACTTTTTTTCTCCCTTACCTAATGATTGCATATGAGTAATTTCAGTTGTTATGAGCTGTTGGCAAGTGGGTATGCATTCTGTATATACGATCGTCGTAGAATCCTTGTGGAGCTTGTCGCTGGCGGTGTTTATGCACAGTTAAGGCGCAGAACTATCGTTTACGCACTCCTCGTGGAGTTTGTCGCTGTCAGATGTCAATACATCCCATAAGCCACAACGATGGATAGACACTCCTTGCGGAACTCATCGTTGTTGGGTACTAATGTTTAAAGTAGGGTGCAGGACGATCATTCACGCACACGTCGAGGAGTTTGTCGTTGTCCGGTGCCAATATGTCCCATAGGCTACAAGCAATGGTTAGATAGCCCTAGCAGAGCATGTCGCTACCAGGTGCTCAAGTTAAAGTAGGGCGCAGGACAATCGTTCACACCCCTCGCGAGCTTGTCATCGCAAGGTGTCGATATGTCCCACAGACCACAGGCGATGGTTAGACACCCCTAGCGGAGCTTTTCGCTGCCAATTGGTAACAGTTAAAGTAGGGCGCATGAAAACCATTCACGCACCCCTCGCAGAACTTAACGTTGTCTGCTATCGATAGGTCCCATAAACCACTTGGCGATCTTTGACCACTCGCGAAGCCTGTTTTTCGAGTGTAATTGCGTTAGTTCCCTAAGTGTAATTGTGTCAGTTCTCCGAGCGTAATAATGTCAGTTCACCGAGTTTGAGATCATCAATTCCCCAATTGTAAAAACAATCAGGAAAATACTATTAGTGATATTGAATATGTGAAATCCCAAAATTTTAGATGTTGTAAATATAAAAAAAACCTCTTTATTAAATTGATCTTTTAAAAGGAAAGAATCTCTTCTCCTGAAATTGGGGCTGCTGATAGGGCTTCTGCAAACTGTTCAAACATTTGGTTGGTGATCTGGGTTCTCAAATCTTACAGGTCTTGTTGAATGAACTCCTCCATAAACTCCCGGGTGCATGTTATTTCTCCTTCATTCCTTTGACTAGACTCTCCTACTTGTTGTTGTTGGGCTCCTCTTCTTGTTGAAGACATATTTCTACGCTCACCGCACTTTAAAAGATGTTGAATAAAAAAGTGCCCGGGAAACACACCCAATGAATGAAACATTCTGTTATGAAGTGATTAGAAGAGAGAGAAAACAGTAGTAGAAAGAAAAAAGAGAGTGACTTATTCATGACACAGACCCCTACTTATAGGCCTAAGTCCTAATATTACAAAAGTACATATTCGCCCCCTCATTATTAACCTTTCAGAGGGGTCTTTTGGTAATTGCAGAGTTATTTGCATATAATAAGGTCGGGAGTCGATTTGATTGATAATTGTTGTTGATCTCTTAACAAATTTTGATTCTCTTGATGTATGGTCTAAAAGAGTGCTCACCGTCGATCGTCCCGATCGTCCTAATAACTGATTACCTTCCTGCGGGAGTTTCTCTTAGCACATTTTGTCGATCATTCAAACAAAGTGCTTCCCTCGCAAATATTCATCTAAAAACAATCATCAAAGGCTACGCTCGATCGTCCACATCTTCTTCCCGAACCATCCATTTGCTTTGAGATTTGGGCTGATATATAAATATGTGTACTATATATATATATATATATTATATATATATATATATTGTCATTTATTTTGAGAAAAGATAATATCAACAAACTAATCGGAATTACACCTATCACCAAACTAATAAGTAATTAAAAAATATAATAGCACATGAGGGATGAGAAAAAGCCTTCCAAGATGCCATTTTGATATTATGAGGAGCAAACCGAACAAGAAAAAGTGAGAATGGCTTAATATTTAAATAAAAAAATTTGGAAAATAAATAATAGAAAAGTAGGGAATCTAATATACTTGTTAACAGAGGCATTAGAGACAAGGAGACGAGGGGCTTCAGAAGGAACCTTTTTACCTAATAAGTTAGCTCCCACCCACTTGAACAGAAACAGTTAGCAGGCGTAGTTTTCTGAATGATAGCATATAAAAACTTTATCTTCGGTCTAAAAAGGTGATAAAGGAATGATTTTATTAATGGAAATCATTTTTTTGTTTTCTTGCTTGATTTCAGCAGGCCTCGCTAAACATTAGATGCAGTCTTTTCAGCATAATACCAAGACAAAAAAAGGGTTGATTTTATTCAAATATCTCAAATCCATCCTAACGGAAAGAGGGATCAAATTGTATGAACTGAAGAAAGCGATAACAGGTTAATATTTCTTGATGGAAAACATCAGAGATCAGTCTTCTGACAGAGGAATAGCTGAAATGGGCATAACAGAGCTCAAAATAATAATCATAATAATAATAATAAACAGATTTTGAAGGCGAATTGTTTATAATTTTATAAATAAAAACAAGAAATAGCTATCTGAAGAAAGAATCAAGATAAATTTTGGGGATCATTAGTGTTTCTTTCTATCAACAGCAACCAAATCCCAGAAGTACAGAACAAGGAATAAGAACCCCAAAAAAATAGTTTTTTTTTTTCCTATATTTACAGAGACATACCTTAAAAATCTCAAAATTTTCTCCGGCTTCGATGGAGAAGAAAGAGCGGAAAGCGGCGATGCGTTCTTTCTTTCTCCGTTGATCGAATCCTGAAAGAAAGGTATTTCTGAAACTGAAAAGAAAATGATAAAAATAATAAATAAAAAGATTTTTGCAGCAGCGGAGAAGAGCAGGTCGTTTTATCGAGAGGATGGTGGTATGGTCACCGCATGTACGCTTTAGCGATTCTTCACCGTAGTTGATTTCTCCAGTCTTGTCGATCGCACGGGCAGATTTTAGGCGTACTAACTTGTAATAAGTGTCCATCTTACAAATATTTATATTTTGGTGCTCATAAATCTCCAAAATATAATTTTTTTTTACTTGTGGAACAAAAAATGCTTCACAAGAATTTAACATAATTTTTTTCAAAATTTAGTGTGATGTGTGATGAGTGATGTGCGATGAGCTTCGCTCGAAAATCCATTATGATTTTGATTCGAATCTAAGTAAACGGGCAAAGTTAAGAGCTAAAACTTTGGATTGAATTTTTTTTTTAGCCGATTTCGAGAAATACATGAATCGGCTCGAACTGACTTGAGATCGGCTAGCAACATTTTTTTTAATTATATATATTATAAAAAATAAAATTCAATATAATGAGTCACGAGTCAATTTCAAACCATTTTCGAACTAGAACGAATCCAAATTACTCAATTTTAGCCGGCCAGTTTTATTTTTGAGTTGGATCGAGCTGATTCGGAGTCGAAACGTATCCAAATCACTCAATTTGAGCCAGCTCATTACGGTTTCGAGCTAGATTATGCTCGATTCAATTTTGAGCTGGCTCAGCTATGAGCTACAAGCCTATTTTGAACCGCACTAAATCTATTTGAGCCCAACTCTGTTCGAAATCAGATCCTTCTAGCCCTAACAACAAGGAGAGTTGAATTTCAAAATTTATTTATCTGAATTTTAAAAATTATTGACTAAATTATATATTTTATTTAAAATGGTTAAGATAATTTTTTCTTATTTGAGTAATATATCATATCTTCCAATCATAAATCATATATTTTTAAATTTATTATATTTTTGTTTATATAATGTAATTCAAAATTATTTTTTCAATCATGATGTTAGTTATGACTCATATACCAGATAAGAGACATGCTAGAGTGGAGCGGAAACATCTATGTAATCAGTAGAGTTTCGTTATGTGGGTTGGAGATGAGAGGGCAACGCCCCCACGATATAATACATGGATAATTTTATAATTACAGATTATATATATA